TTTTTTTTTTTTTTTTTGAAAGTATTATAATAAATAAATAATGTATTGTTTGTTACCATAACTGATAATAATTAACGTTAAAACTGAATATTTTAAACCATTTAATAATGTTTAAATGTTTGTTATTATTTCGAAAAAAAAATTTAAAAAAATGTTTCAAAATGATCTGCGAACACGTGTCATTTCAACATACATTCATTATCGGAGAAAATATTATGTAAATCCAAAAAGTATGCCCCAGTCTATGTCTTATATTTCTAAAATAAAAAAAAAAAATCCAAAAAGTATGAAAAAAAAAAAAATAAGAAGTATCTTATTATGAATAATCTTGATGAAAAAATTTTTTTTTAAAGGTACAAGTGCGTTATAACGACATCTCGACGACGACATACAGTACTATTTTTTTTGGATTCCTTTGATGTCGTTATATCATTATAACGACGAAGAATATCGTTATAATGGGCGACACTTGTAAATGAAAAAATTTTCGCAATCGACTGAAGGGTGATATTTAAAAAAAATATCATTATTGAAAGAAAGCTTTTCTCGAGTTGAATTTCAAGTTAAAAACGAGTCATGCTATTATATTATACAACTAAAATTATTTTTATATGTTTATATGTGAAATTATAAGTTTATTTGGTGAATTATATAATTTTCAATTTATACTTCAAATAAATGATGTATTTTTACAATTTCCGATGAATATTTTTTTTTTATTTATTCATTTTATCTTTTCATCACAATTTTACTTAATAATAAAATTTACAGTAAATAATTTAAAAATATTAATATTATTAAACGGCCAAATAAATAAATGTAATTATAATATTTTACTGTATGTGATAACGATATTCGATATTAAACTTTAAATTGATCGATTTTAACAGAATCTAAATTATTCAGAATTCTTAAATTAACTTATTAATCGAAATCGTTGTAACACGGACATGTACATTTCACGAAACATCATCACCGTTCTGTCATATCCCAATCAATTGATCCTACTGAATTTCCTGTGTAGAATAGTAGAATACCTTCAGTGACAAACACTGAAAGAATATTTTATGGTTAGTTGTATATACTATTGCAATTTATTATTATTATTATTTTTTGAATTCGCAAGTGCTGTTGTCAAAAAAATATATAGGAATACTCAAATTTTTACATAATCAATCGGGTATAGTATGCGATAAATATTAGGCGATATGGTCACGCTATGAAAGTTATCCAATACCTCCTCAAATATTCATATCATCAATTCATGTAAATCTGTCACGTTATTTGTCCGGCATTATAAGTCTTCTACCAGAATTATAGCACTCGGCCGGCATTAAGAAAATTAACCATGTGATAATTGAGGAAAAAATAAAACAATATTCAAGTCTCACGTGATTTAAAAGACTAGACTACAGGCTTTGGCTGATGACGGCTGTAAAGCTATTAAGAACGTTCTCGTTCATCGTATCGGAATTAGCGAAATATGGCATCAGTAGTAGTATTTCATTCGTAGTCCCCATAAAATCAATTAGTTATCCTACCTCTAATGATTCTTTTGATTGAATAGTCGGCACTACTAAAATTTAACAATTTGGGATAATATGAGAAAATAGAACAAGGTTTGGATTGTCATCTATGTTTATGGTGTCGTCGCGCAGTTGGGAATGCATTACTAACTTAAATTTTTGTGTTTAGTTATCCTACCTCAATTTTAGCAGTGTCTATTCCATCAAAAGAATCATAGATAGTTTAGGATAATATGGGAAAATTGATCAAGTTTTGGATTGTCATCGACTCTGTTTATTGTGTCGTCACCGACGTCACGGCAAGTGGGAATACATTACTAACTATAATTTTCGTGCAAAATGTGTAATTCTTTTTGTTCTACAATAAAATCACATCACTATTATTATTATTTGCCGAATTTAAATAGAAATCATGGGTCGATCATTCTATTATTCTAATTTATTTATAGTTTAGTTCTTCATATTTTTTGATTTTTTAGTGGCGATGAAATCCAAAATAGTACAAGTCAAAACTTTATTGGTTCGCACCAAATCTATTTAAAGTTAGATCGACGATTATGTTATAAACTTCTTTAAACCGAATGAAACCTTAAATTTTTTCTATCCTAACTACTTTTTTAATTTTTTTTTTTTTTTTATTATGTCAAAGAAATTTTTAGTGTATTCTATATTATGGAGTTTAATTCAATTAGTTGAAGTAAATTGTCGAATAACATCACGACGATTTGATCATACTGCTACAATTTTTAATAATAACTTATATATTTTGGGTGGTCGAAATCTTAATTACGCCGACATTGTTGGAAAAGATTTTTTTTATTTTGATATATCTGTTGCATTGAATACTCAAAAACTTCTATGGCATCAAGTATCAAGCATTAATAATGTTCCATCACATTATGGTGCATCTTTTGTTAAAGGAGGTGCAAATAATAATACATTAATTTTATATGTACCAGAGCATATTCAATTCAGTTTTTCAAGTCCTGATATTGATTTTGTTTATACATTTGATCCACAAGATAATTCAAATAATGCATGGAATATACCAAAAATAATAGGAAATAATGCAATTATAGAGAAATTTTCAATTAATATTATTAGAAAAAAATTTTTGACAGGAATTGTTGATTATTATGGAAAAATTTATTTATGGGGTGGAATTAAACGATACGAATTCGATTCTGATATGTATATTTTAGATACAACAAACTTTAGTTTGGAAAAAAGAAATATAACAAATATATCGAATTCTAATTTACCAACTTTAAGAATTCATTATGGTGCCGCTTTATTACCTAACAATAAAATCATTTATATTGGTAAGTAAACAATTCTTTTTTTTTAAAAAAAAAAAAAATATTATTTGTTATTATTTGTTTATATACAGTATTATCTTCTTTTTAGGTGGTTATGATGGTAAAAATTATTTAACGTTGGAGCAGGTAAATTATTAATTCTATTCTTTCTTTTTTTTTCGAGATTAAAGAAATCAGAGCGTAAATTTACGAATAATTTTATTATTTAGGTTTATATTTATGATACCATTAGTAATAATTGGTATAGAGAAGTAAGTACTATATTTAACATATTTTTTGTTCAAAATTGATATTTGTTACAATAATTTTTTTTTAATAAATTTTAGATAACTACCGGAATAATACCTTCTAATAGAGGAAAATTATCTGCCGTTCTTGGTATGAATTATTTTTAATTTAAATTACGATATTTATTATTATTTATTATTAATTATAAATTTATCACAAAAGGATTAGATGGTCAAAAAGTAATCATCTTTGGAGGTTCTAATAATTCTAATCTTAAATCTAATGAATCACTTTATGTATTAAATTTAACAAATTTTGAATGGTATATTCCGAGAATTTCCGGAAAGATTCCGAAAAATCGATATTATCATAAAGCAAATGTTATCGATAATTATATGATCATATCATTCGGTAAGTCATTAAATGAAATGTTTTTAATTTTTTAAACGAAAATTACAATTAAAAGAAAATTTTTTTTTTTTTTTTTTTTTTTTAATAGGACGTGGTTATAATCAATCAATTGAAAGTGACATTTTATTACTTGATATAAGTAATAACGAGGAATATGTATGGAAATGGCTTGAGATTAGTCAATCTATAGATTTATTAACAGATTCATTAATAGATTCATTAATAGATCAATTCAATCTAATAGAATTAACGAAAACTATATTAATTATTACTTTTATAATTATAACTCCTATATTTTACTTTAAAAAGAAAAAGAATAATAATTCCAATTGGCTTGAAGAAGCTATTTCCAATAATTATATTAAATATTATGAATATAAACATTTTAGTAATATACAAAAAATTGGTACCGGTTATTTTGGAGAAGTTTTTCGTGCAAATTATAAAGATTCAGAACAATATTTAGCTTTAAAATCTTTTTTTAACCTTGATATCGCCACCATTAAAGAAATCATTCATGAGGTACAGTATTTAAATTATTTTGAAAAAAAAATTTGTTAAATTTTTTTTTTTAAAAATTCATTTTTTTTTAAAAAATTAAAATTTTATTTGTGATGTTAAGCTTAAACTTCAACGCGAAGTTGATTTTCATAATAATGTTATTCGTTTTCATGGAATCGCAAATTCTGAGTCAGGTATGTTAAAAAAATTAATAACATAAAATATAATAAACGAATTATTATTATTATTAATTTATTAATCTTACTAGAAAATCTAGAAAATCAAAGATGTAATAAATTTATATTAGTATTAGAATATGCGGATGGTGGTTCCCTTAGAAATTATTTGAATAAGAATTTTGATACACTTGCTTGGAATCACAAATGCAATCTTGCTCATCAATTGGCATGTGCCGTTTCTTGTTTACATGATGAAAATATATTACATTGTGATTTGGTAATTTTAATATTATTTATCATAAATTAATTATTTTTAAAAATTATTTAAATTTTAATTATAATATTATTAAATTATAATTTTTATTTTTATTTTAAAATTTTAAAATTTTTAAAAGCATTCTGGTAATATATTGGTTCATCAAAATGCCATTAAATTGGCTGACTTTGGATTATCAAAAAGGATTGAAGATGCAACAAATCATCATTCAAAATTACATGGAATAATTCCTTATATTGATCCTAAAAGATTTAATAACTTAGATTCAATACAAGTATATAAATTAGATAAAAAATGTGATATATATAGCGTTGGTGTTCTTTTATGGGAAATATCAAGTGGTAAACCACCTTTTTATACCGAACGTGAAACAAATTGTTGTTTAGCTATGAATATCTTACAAGGTCTTAGAGAAACTCCTATTTTGGAACCAGATATTCCTTCCGATTATATTAAACTTTATATTGGTAATTATTATTTTATTAAATTATTATTATGTATTTATATTTAAAAATTTATTTTAACACGAATTGTTATTTAGCGTGTTGGGATGGAGAACCTAATAAACGTCCAACTATAAAACAAGTTACTTCACAACTTAAAGCAATGTTATCCCAAATAGACGAAAAAGATAATTCAATAGTAAATTTAAATGAAGATGATAATAATTATCCAGTAAAAAATTTAACCCGATTATCACAATTACTTAATTCAGATGACAGGAATGAGGTCTCGGATTTTTTTGGGTTTAATGATTTGACAAATGAATTAAAGGAATATTTTGAAAAAAATGAAAAAAACAATTAATAATAAATTAACAAATTAGTCTTGTTATATCGAAATTTACCATTTAAATATGATATTATTATTACTTACAAAATATTAGGAAGTCAAGTGATTGTGACAAGACTCTCTTCTAAAATTTTAATAGATGTACTGTATAATGAAAACTGGGAATTTTTATATTTAAAACAAACAATACACGAGAAATTGTAATGTAAATAAACGGAAAATCAGTAAATCACGATTTTGCTTATATTACTATTATATGAAGAAATTTAGAAATTTTTATGAAGTAACCTGGATTGGTAATAGATTTGAAATTTGTATCATTACCGACAATCATCCGTCCAATTACGAGTTGCCCGCCCTTAAATTTTTCTTTGAGACGATGAATTATAAGTTCGATTCTTTATCAGTTATCACTGATATCAAGATAAGATTACCGTTACCAATGAATTGTTGAAGGAGGAAGAAATTGTACGCTATTATTTAACATGAATGATTTTATATTATTGAATTTTCGGCATTTCTTCAGCATATTGGGTCAAAATCCATTATGGTTTACAGTAACTATATTGTATGGTATTTCGGGGATGACAAAAGTAATTATCAGAAGTAAGGATTTGACAATGATAGTAATCTTTTATACCGATCGCAGTTGCGAAGATGGAACAGTTAGCGCCTTAACGGGTTTATTTGAAATAATTTCCGAGATTCTCGGTGATAATTTAATTATTTTTGTTTTATCGTCTTTACCATCTTCAATAACTTCAGTTGTTATCTTGTATATACCATTGAATTTCCTAAATATTACCTGTCTTCTTTCTCTTTCGGCCTACTTATTGACAAAAATTTCTTATCCCCTCTTAACGACTTTACTATAAAAAAAAAATTACTTATTCCCGACGAAAAAAAAATCATATTTTATTTGAAAAATTTGAAAAATTCAAAATGATGCTCAGTAAGTGTAAAACCTTACTAGTATGTCTTTGTAAGAATTAGACATTTTGTCTGCATTAGGAGTGGAATTTCTTAAGATAGTTAATCGTTTAAGCATGATAATATTAAAGTTATATTTTTTTTTTACAAAAGAAATTTCTCGCGGTGGTTGCGGAAAAGATGACCATAGTGTTTACTTTTGCAGAAATATCCAAAAAGCTGTTCCAATTTGATTGTTTCTCTCTATTTTTTAAAAAATCTAAATTTTAATAAACATATAGTTTAAATGCCCCTCTAAATTTTCCCGAATTTTCTCAAAAATTTCTAAAAGTTTTATTATATTCATTTTATTTAGTTTATTTAATGAAAAAGCCTTCCCCCTCAAACTTTTCAGAAAATCTGGAAAATCTGGACGTTAAACAAATAATCAGTTGTGAACGGTCTAAGTGCATAATGTTGATTTTGATCTTCCAATAATAATGTCCACTAATTTATTACAAATCTTTTCGCGCTATTATAATAATATTGGGATGTAGTAATTTTCTTTTTATCTATAATATTAAAAAAAATTAAGCCTCAAAAAAATTAATTACATAAAAAAAGAATGATTTGTGCTAAGGAGGTAGAAAATCTTATCTTTGTACATCCGTATATCGAGATTGACGTGTTTATAGTTAGTTAGGTTCGTCCAATCTACGATAATCGTGTAAATTTAATTTATTTATACCCAATAAAGAAATGAACAAATAAATAAAAGTTTTAATTGCTTTAATTAAAAATGATGGAGGAAAAACCAATTCTGAAATATAAATATATGGAAAAATAAAAAATACATGGCAAACCTTTTAAAAATTAAAAATCGGTCTTGAACTCATAATGAACTAAATTGAATACGAAACAAAGGTGCTATATCAAATTTCATTTGTTAAAAATCGGTTTAACATGAATATCGCATAATCGTTAAGTTCTGACTTGCTAATAAAATGTCGTAGTTTAACGTTTTTGCGAACAGTCTAATTCATTTTCTTCTTTATTTCTTATGTTTTCCTCCACATGCTTCTTCGTGCCTTTTCAAATTTGACATCGATATGATTCTATTACATTTACATCCTTTATGTAATTTATTTATTTATTTTATTTCAAGAAGAGTAGTAATCCGAGTCCAATACAAATTAAAGCCGAAGGTACGTGAGTACGAAAAAACTAAAATATGTGCATAGATCACAGACTAACATCCCATACAGGACCTCAGGACCTCACCCTTCGGTGAAGAATAGAGCTATACCTAGGTGAAATTACGCTGCCTAAGATTTTACATCCTTTATGTATCGGGAAAATTACGTTTTATTAACATTTCATTATAGAGTCAACATGACGAATGTACAGTGAGAGTGTACGATAACGTGCGAACTGACCGGAATTAACGTCAACGCTATCGCGTGTAAGTGCATAACTCCCAAACTCGGGCCAGTTCGTACGTTAATATCGTACACCCCCTCCCTCACATGACACCTTAATCTGGTTTTTATCTTGCCTGCATTATAGGTGCTCGGCCGGCATTAATAATTAACCATGTGACAGTTGTGTCACTCATGACACTCATGTGACGAATAAAAATTAACGAATAGGGTTTCTCACGCCGAAAAAACAGAAATGTTGATCCATCATGAATAAAAATAGTCAAATGGATCATCCCAATGTTTATTTCTTCTTCGTTTAAAATGATTTATCGGTAAAAGATATATTTATTTTGCAGGCTATGTCGTATTGTTATTTTTTATTTATTAATTTTTGAGATACATGACACAAGTCACATAGCCACATGCCTTTTGCCCAAATTCTATTGTTATTTATGTATCGTTTTTTTTAAAGAAAATAAACTATAATTTTTTAGGAAAAAAAAAAAAAAATTTTTTGTTTTTCATAATTTTATAAATAAAGCCATCTTTTGGAACCTATTTTAAAACTTAATGTCAAATTTAATTTGATAAATTTTAACGTTAAAAATGGAAGGAGAAGAATTTAATCCAACTGAACCTTATACTCGTCGTTTACGTAAAATCCTTGAAGAATATCCTGATGGTTCACAGATTCTTCGTGAAATTCTTCAAAATTCGGATGATGCAAAAAGTACTGAACAAGTTTTCATTTTGGATCATAATACATATCCATCAAGTAGTTTGTTTAAACCGCATTTGAATAATAATTGTCAAAGAGGACTTGATAGTTATCAAGGTCCCGCACTTTTAGCAAAAAATAATTCCTTATTTGAAGAAAGGGATTTTAAATCTTTGCTAAGTTTGGCTAATAGTGAAAAACACGATCAATTTGATAAGATTGGAGGTAAATTTTTATTTATGCTCATAAATTTGTTTGTTTTACGCAACTTACAAATTCTAATAACTTTCTACATTTCAATAGTAATGGGAGTAGGATTCAATTCAGTTTATCATATAACCGACTCTCCTTCATTTATCACTGATGATAAATACGTTATTCTTGATCCACACAAATGGTGTTATAATGGTGGTGTCAAATTCAACTTTATCAACCATGAATTGGCTGAAAAATGTCCAGATCAATTTGCTCCTTTCAGAAGAATTCCGTGTGATATTCCATGTGATGAACTATTTAAAAAACCATTTAAAGGCACTATCTTTCGTTATCCTCTTCGTGATACTACCGGTTCAGATATTTCTGACAAAATTTATAACCCGGAAGATATCTTAGAAATGTTTCACAAATTTTACGAAATTGACAGCATTAATTGTTTATTATTTTTGAAATATATCGAGTGTATCTCTTTTTATGAATTGGAAAAAGGCGCCAATGAACCTAAATTACTTTATAAAATTCAATTAGAGAATGCTGAAAAAGTACGCCAAGAACGTCATTTTATAGTTGAAAAAATTATACCAATGATGGATTTGTTAAATTCAAGTAGTCTTAATGAAAACAATCAACTAAAAGCGACTTATGTTGCATCATTCAGTCGTCAGAAAGGAGATTCTAAAGAACCTAATTCAAAATGGTTAATTTTGAATTATCTTGATGATTTACTCGAAACTCAAACATATTTTCAAAATAATTTTAGAAAAAACATAAGAGACTACAAATTTATTCCTAATGTTGGGCTAGCGGTTCCTTTAAATGATTTAAATGTTACCGGAAAATTATTTTGTTTTTTGCCTCTTCCTATCCCAATGCCCTTCTCAGTTTCCGTGCATGGATATTTTGCGGTAGGAGCTTATTATTATTATATTGAATGTTTTAATAAATATTGCATATCATATATTAAAAATTTTTTCTGACTTGCTTAACAGGTTAACACTAATCGACGCTCTTTATGGTCTGCTGCGGATAATGAAGACTTGGTAAAAAATTGATTTTTTTCACAATTATTTTGTTAAACATAAATATTAAAAAAAAGAACTCTTGAAATTTAGGCTGATAATGCATTAGCGCATCTAAAGGTTAAATGGAATCGATATTTATTTGAAAAAGTCTTACCAAAAGCTTGGGTAAAATTCCTTTGTGAACTCCCATCTAATAATATTCAATCAGGTGATTTGTATAAATTCTGGCCGATAGTTAAGGATGATTCATCAGGAAATATAAGTATCTTTTGCAAGGATCTTTTACAAAATGTTGTAGATTGTCTTAGTCTCGAAGATCGCGTATTCAAAGGTCCATCATCAAGCATCATTGGTGAAATTAGTGGAATATCAGCAGATTCATATAATACATCCTCATTTATCGAGTCCGGATTTCATTGGCTTTCACTTTCTAATGGCTATTTGGAGGATGAGAAACTATTAAGTTTTGATTTACCCAAAATTATTGGAAAAATAGGATTTCCCGTAATATCAACTTCTTATCATATCATAAGTGTCTTAAAAAATTCTAAATACAAAGATTCTCTTAAGTTTTTTTCTCCTGGAGTTATTCGTACTTATTTAAAGCACAATTTTGACAAATGGGAAGGAAATTTACCAAGAAAAGAAATCTTACAATTATTCGAGTACATATTAAGGGATCAAAATTTTAACGAATTAGAAGGTTTTAAAATGATTCCACTTGCGGACAATGAACTTGGTACTATAACACTGTCTAGCGATTCTAATGTATATATTGGTCCGGACAATAACATTGAAGACCATAAATTTGACGAACGTCATATCTTCGAGAATCAATTGAACAAATTTATTGACAAATCAATTGACTTTGGATTGTATATGCGTTTGTATGATAATGCAAAGGCTGGATGGAATATAAATATCAAAATTCTAAACGAGTCCGTTGTCGCTGATATGATAAGATTCTCATTGAATTATTCGATAAATAAAAAAGACTCCGAAGAAATATCAATTCCAAATAATCTTGAATGGATTTATCGATTATGGAATAATTTAAGATACAGAAATTGGAATCTGAGAGAGTTTGAAGAAATTCATTTAATCCCAACAAGCAACTCTACTATTAGGAAATTAAAAACACCCAGAAAAATTTTTTCGAATAAAACAAGCGAAAATATTTCTACTAATACCTTAATACCTATTTTCGAAAAATTCGGTGCTGTTTTCGTGGATAATCAATTTATAGAAATTTCTAAATGGGATAAGTTAGTATTGCTAAATTATAATCTCTTCATATTGTTTCTAAACAAACTAATTATCTTCACTTTCTTTTTGATAGAACATCTCCTTATATTATTAAGCTTAATGACATTATATCAGTTTTGGCTTCTTTGCGAGCTGATACTTTGTATCCAGGGAATTTGAATCAAAGTTTACAAATTCATGAAGCACCCGCGCTTGTTGAGCATCTATCTAATTATTTGCGAATTGCAAATAAAGATCATCTTACGCAAGAACTTATTGAAGTTATCAAGCATCTTCCAATTTTTAATCAAGTGGATCATACTGCAACAATTTCATTATTACCTGGAAATAAAGAATGGTATCTCCTACCTCAGGGCGTAGAGGATTCATATGGTAGAATTATTTATCCCGGTAATAAGGGAGGATTTCTGAGTACAACATCACGAGATTTATGTGATATATTAGAAAAAGTCATAAAGATTCCTCGACTAAATGTAAATGATTATTGGCGAAATTATGTGATACCATTTCTTGAGACGCAATCATCAGAAAACATAGATATAGTAATTGACAAGCTTTTTGATCGATTAACAAATATAATTGATGTTAACTTGAAGGATATTCTCGGAAGAAAGTCTTTTGTACTTACTGGTACACTTAAAATGTCTCAACAACAACAAAAACCTGATAACGTAAAATTAGCAAAACCAATAGATCTATATGATCCGGAAGAAGAAAAATTAATTAATTTATTTTTTGAAGATGAACGTGTATTTCCCGCTGGCAATTATGGCATTTCCCAGACTTCTTTACCTAATAAGTTCCTTTCAAATTTGAAATTGTTGGGAATCAAATCAATTCTTTCTCCAAATGACGTAATTTCTCGGATCGACGCTATTATAGATCGAAGACAAACTTCCAATGTTCCTGAAGATTTAATCCATACTAAAGCATTAAAACTTTTTAAATATCTCGATGAAAATTGGATTAAGATTATTGATGATACACAAATTCGAGGAAATCGCGAGCAATTTAATGCGTTCTTAAAAGTAATTATAGAAAAAGAATGGATACCAACTATTGACGTATGTGAGAAAAAAATCTTTTCGAACATTAAAAAATGTCATAGTCAAAAAGACAAAGATTTAGTCTGTCTGGTCACTCCGATAGTTGATCATAAGCTTAAATGTAAGAAACTTTTGAAACAATTGGGGTGGGATACATATCCTGTTGTTGGGATGATTATAGAACAACTAGGACTTTGTGTCAAAGGCGTAAAAAACAAGCAACCACCTAAAAATTTAGTAAAGATTTGTACAGCGGTTTACAAATATATGGACGAAATTTTTAAAGCAAGTGACAATAAGTATAATAAAGAATTCAATTATATGAAGAACTATTTGAAAGATAAGCCATGGATCTTTTCGTCGCATGAAGGACAATTTTATCCAGCTGATAAAGTTATCCTTAAACTTCCGAAAAAATTTCAGAAAAATGAATCTTTAATCATTGAACTTCCAGCAGATTATGGTAGTTTTAAATCTTTATTTGAAGCTATGGGAGTTCGAGATGAAATTGGAATTAAAGATTTTATTTTAATTATTAATAGCATGGTCAAAGGGAATAAAGACAAAATTTTATCTCCAAACGAAATAAATAATATAATTCAAATTCTTGAACATATCGCCAGTATACGAAAGAGTAATAGAGGAGATGGAAACAACCCGAAAGAATTAGATGGGCTATTAGTACCAACTAACAAAAATACGCTCGCTGACTTACAAGAAATATATTTTGACGATATGGAAGATAGACTTAGTGAAGAAGAGAAAAGAGAACATATAATTGCTCATCGTCTTGTAATTCCGTATATTGCTAAAGAGTTAGAGATTCAAACTTTAACTGGAAAACTATACGGTAATTATAATGGTACATCAGATATAGATTGGGACACATATGAACAGGATGAAAAATTGACCACCAGAATTAAGAATATCATCAAGGTAACTTTTTTTTTTTGATTTTTACATTTATTTTTAATTCATATTAGATCCAAATTTTATTAAATACTTTTTTGATGTAATTAGGATTATAAAATAACTTCATTGTTTAAAGAGTTTCTTCAAGTAAGTAATTTTATTATATTATATTCAGAAATTTACTTTTATCACATTTACACTACATATTTTATGCGAATATAGAATGCGGATGATGCCGGAGCCACCCAATTTTTAGTAGTGGTAGATGAAAGGAAAACAAATCGGGATAATAAACAAAAAAAATCTTTATTGTCAGTAGAAATGGCGGATTGGCAAGGACCAGCAATATGGATATATAATGATGCAGAATTTTCCCCTAAAGATTTTCAGGCTTTAATCAAACTTGGAATAGGGAGAAAAGCCTGTGATGATACTAAAATTGGAAGATTTGGGATTGGATTTAATTGTGCTTTTCATGTTACAGATCTACCTAGCTTTGTAAGTGGAAGATACATTGCATTCTTAGATCCAAATGCAAATTTTCTTCCAGCGCAAGGATATCCTCCTAAAAGGCCGAGGGGTACTCGAATTGACTTTATTGATAAGGAGTTTGGGAAGTTTCGGGATCAATGCTATCCTTATGAAGCAATATTCGATTTTATTAAGAAAAGTTTTCCTGATAAGTATAAAACAACTGAGAGTTGTAGTTTTTCGAGCGAGTTCAATGGAACATTGTTTAGACTTCCACTTAGGAACCATGAGTCGAAAAAAAGTGAAATTTCAGATCAAATTTTTGAAATCAAGTATATCTTGTCGTTATTTAACAATGTCCAGAATAATAAAGAAAAGCTCTTTTTAAGGAACATAGAATCATGTAGTCTGTATCACATGAAGCAACAAGCTACTCAACTGGTATGGAAAACGCAAATCTATATATCAGATTCAGGTCGCAAAATTCGTAAAAGTGTTATCGATAAGGCACAAATATATCAAATGGGTATTGAAATTATTAATAATATGGATCAATCGAAATCATCAGAAATATGGCTTTTATGTACAGGAGGACATGGTAGGGTTACTAAGGTGAAACTTGAAAAATTTTCAGAGAGTGAAAAACTCAAAGTAAGCGTAACTAGTAATAAATATGTACATTATATATTGGTCCATTTAATATAATATTCTAATAATTTTATTCGTTTTATTAAGCCAAGAGGCGGGGTTGCTTTCTTGCTTGCTCAATCTGATAAAAGTTCATTGAATGAATTAAAGGCTGCACCAGTAAGTATATTTTCTTTTCTTTTCTTTCTTTCTTTTTTTTTTTTGTATTATTGCATTTACGTGTTATCAAAACTATTATAGTTTTCAAATCTTCCTGAACTTGAAGGCAAAATTTACTCATTTTTATCTTTATCAATAAACACCAATTTGGGAGTTCACTTGAATGGAAATTTTTCTTTACCTAGTGCAAGAAGCGCTATTCTACAGTCTGAAAACGATTTCTTGAAAGCAGATAGTGACGATGCAAAATGGAATAAATATATTCTATATGACGTTCTATCTGATTTGCACATTAAACTACTTGAGCATATTGTAGAGCTTGATAAAATCAGACACAAGAAGGAAGGAATAAAGTTCATTCCACATACCACAAATAGGTTTTGGCCAATTAAAAATGACTCAACTATCGGCTTGTACAAAGACTACGGTTTAAATGTTATTAGGAAATTAGGTAATGGTAATCATAAAATTTTTTGGACTGAAGCTAATGGCGGGCAATTTATTCCGTTAAAGGATGCCAAAATTTTTGAGGAAGAAGAAGCAATAATTGCGGATATAATTAAATTAGGAATTCCAGCTGTGAAACTTAGTAAGGACAAAATTGAACACTTAAGTAAGATCGGTGAATCTAAAAATACCCTTAATTTCCCATACAAACCTGTTAATGGAAAATCTATTTGCAAAGAATTACAAATGAAAAGGTTTTCACTACCTTCTTTTAACACACATGATTCATTGATCAATTTACTTAATTTTATTTTTCAAGATAAAGATTCTTTTAAAGATCTTATTGGATTGCCATTAGTTCCATTGAGCAACCATTCAATTGGAAAGTTTGGTGAACAAATTTACTACATTGGGGATCAAGAACAAATAGAATTGTTCCAAAAGGCTGGTCCATCTAGATTTGTTTCCATTGACTTACAAGATAGCTTATTGAAAATTTTTAATGCTGATTTTTCTGAGACTACCAAAATCAGAAAGTTTGACGCTTATGGAGTCTTAGATCTTTTAAAGGAAGAGTTGCCGATTGTAGAAGAATTGGATGAATCTATTCCAGTCGATAGTTGGCTTGAAAAAATTTGGTCAATATTAATTAAAAGCGCCGAAAATATGGATTTTAACAAACTTACAATATCTCCTCTTTTACCAATTATTCAACCTTCTAGAATGCTAGTTAGACTTAATGTGACAAATCCACCACTCTACGATAATGGACATAACTTAATACCATTATTAGTAAAGCTAGAAGTGCGTTTCACTAATATATCGTTTCAAAATGTTCAAAATGAAAAACTCAAAAAATGTGTTTTGGCATGCACTCCTATTAATATCATTAATTCTTTGGAGAGGACTTGTACTTCATTGTATTTAACAATGGAGGATTTATTCGAGAATAGTGATTTATCGGCTCATGACTATGAGGACTTTAGAACATTTATTAAAGTAAATCTTGAAATTTTGTTAGGCAAGTGAAAAAAACTGCAAAAATAATTTATGTTTAATTAAAGTTAATATTCTGTGTTGACATATTTATTTGATTTACGTTTTACAGGACATTGTCGAAATCAAGAAAATTTTATGAATATTCTTTGTTCGTTACCGATATGGCCATTACATTCTTCCGAAGATAAATTCATTGATGCCAAATCTGGAAAACTCCTTCCATATAAGCTCCCATTTTTTTCTTTTGATAAGAATACTGAATTTTACAAATGTGATCGTGAAATGGATTTCGAAGTACTTCGAATATTAGGTGTCACTCCTATGAGTGAATTAGAATATATTAAAAAAAATATAATACCGAAATTTAAAGATTTTCAAACACCATCTCAGAAATATATCGATTTCTTGCAGAGTATTTTATCGGGTAATCAAGAAATTGAAAAACATCTTAAGAAATATCCAGCAATACCTAATGGATCACTTACTGAATTTGTAAAAGCTGATGCTTTATATGATATTACCGTTCCATTATTTAGTTATGTTTTTAAAGATGACGACAAATTTTTACCTAGAATATTTTATAGTAATAAGGTTTTAATGGCAGCTTTAAAAAGAATGGGTCTTAAGTACCAAGTGAATTGTGAAACATTTATTGAATGTGCACAAGAGATTGAACAACAATCTGATATTCAATCTGATAGGTTTTCGATGGAAGAAGTCAAAATGATGATAAATCATTTATATAATAAATCTATTTCAAATCTAAAATTCTTGGATGACCAGTGGAAAAAACTTATAAATATCAAATTCGTTCCATCGAAAATTATTCAAAATCCACTTTGTGAGGAATCGAAAGAAACCCTGAAATTTGGAAGTTTCTCGGTGCTTTGTTTTCAAAAGTATAAGGATGTATGTTGGACCAAAAGGCATTTTTTTGAAAAAAATGTTGAACCTACTGATTCATTTTGTAAACGTGATCCTAGGATCGGAATACCGTCGCCAAAAGATATTATAGAACACTGGTCTTTCGTTGTTAAAAATATTGAATCAATATTTGGGCAAGATCGCAGTGAAGCTAAAAGAGTGATCGAAGAAATTTATAAAATAATGAACAAAAATGTAGAAGAGTCTGAGGAGTTGGAAATTGATAACAAAGAGGAATTATTCTTAAATGGGGATGACCCACTTGATGAAAAATGTTGGGTAACAGGGAGTAAACTTGCGTTTGGAATACAAGAAAATACTGAAGCTAGAGATAAAGTTGTTGATTTTTTAGCGCCTTATAAGACTTTATTATTACGTGCTGGAGCTATGGAGGTAGATGATAACTATATAAATGAGTACAAACGAAGTGAAAAACTTTCTCAAAAAGACAAGCTGTTTAAAAATTTATTAAAATTTATAAATCATGAAAATAAACATCATGATGTTACTTTTATTGTTGGTAAAGAAGAAATAAGTGCTAACAGATATGTACTTTCTGGTACGTTAATTTACTTTTTGAGAACTTTTTTTTTCCCCTTATTAATAGTTATTTAAATCTTTCTATATAGCTGCTTCAACCCATTTTGAAATGGTATTTTGTGACTTAAATAAGACGGAAATCAAGGTTGAAAAAGAAAAGCCACATACAATTAGGGTATTTCTTCGATGGTTATACGGGGAAGAAGCAGCCATAAATGAAGAAAACTTTGAAGAAGGAAAGGAATATTATACGGATTATTTGACGTTTCTAGTTGACTTATTAAAAGTAGCTGACAATTATGATGTTGAATTACTCAAAAATGAAGTGGAAGATGTCATTATAAGTGATCGACGTATTAGTGTTCATAATGTAAATAAAATTCTGAATTGTTTAAAGGAATGCAAGGCACCTGCATTGAAATTAAAAGAATGCTGTGAAAAGTTTAAAGAAGATAATAGCGAACTTTGCAGATAATGAAGGCATTAGGATAGTACTTTCAGACATGACATTATGATAAGGTTTAAGCATATGGACAAAACTGAAGATTCAACTAACGCTGTTATTTATA